TCGTCGGGGTTGTCGTTGGGAGAAGGCCGTTGTGCGAGAAGCCGGCGGTCGTGCGGCCCGTCGCGATCATGTCCTCCGCAAACATCTGCGCCTCCGGCTCTGCTGCGATGGGGAACGTTAAGGCTGCATTGAGAGGGGGGCAAAGAACGAAAGCGAAAGCGAAAGCGAAAACGAAGCGGAACGTATGAAAGAACGAACGCGAAGGTGGAATCGTGGTGGGTATGGGTACCTGGGGCGAGTTGGTCGGGGTGGGCGTTAGAGGGGGCCTGGGAGGCGAGGGACATGGCGTAGAGCTTGTCCTCGTCCTCCACCACGTGCAGATTATTGAGAAAGTTCTGCACGTGCACATTCCTGGGAAATACAAGTACAACAACGACGATCATCAACACCCATCATCGATGGCCATCGCATGAGACGACACGACACGCATACACGACCAACATGGACGCACCTCGAGAGGTTGTACGGAATCGATTGGTACTTCATCACTTTTTGCACCTGTGTGAGTCGGGTGTTGTGAGTGCCGTGTGTGCGGTGGTGCCTGTGCGTGTGTCGTGTGCGATGGTGTGCGCAGTGTGAGATGTGAGGGACGAGAGATGAGGCGCCTACGTGTTCGAGGCGGAGCTCCATGGCACCAATGTTGATGCACTTGTCGGGTCCGTAGGCCGGATTGCCGTCGTCCAAGTAGGTGAAGTAGCGCAGGAACAATCCGAAATAGGGCAGCGTCGGTTCTCGCGCCTCCTCTCGCCTACATTATCGTGTGTATGGTGTCGTGTGCGGTGATGCGTGTGTGTCGTTTCGTGTGCGTGTGCGTGTGCGTGTCGTCATGCGTGTGCGGTGATGCGTGTGCGGTGATGCGTGTGCGGTGAGTAACGGTCATGGAAGAAAGGGGAGAGAAGCAGAAGGGATTACTTGGCGAGCTGTTCGCGGTAGCGATGGAAGTTCTGTTGGTTGTCCATCACCGCCTCGAGCTCCTCGAAATAGGCCTTGTACTTTTCCGGCACCTGCCGCCACGTATCCTGCACACACGCATTCCCCGCATTCTCATCAGCAAAACCGCACACGCCACCGCACACGAACATAAGAGAGACAAACCTTGAGGCGCGAGATGGAGATGTTGTTGAGGCCGGAGAGGATCTCCATCATGGAGTTGAAGTTGCCCAGGTGGTAGCAGATGTAGGCTGTCTTGATGAACTTTTTGATGATCTTGACCTGCGTCTTGCGGTCCTGCTTGGTGAGGACCTCGGTCGCCACCCAGTAGGAGATCTGGTTGAAGCGGCCGATCATGCGGATGATGTTGGGCGCGATGATGGCCTTGTTCTCGCGCTGCCAGGCCTGGTTGAGGAACTCGCGCGGCGCGATGCGCTTGAAGATCTCCCACTCCTGCATGGTCAGCTCGCGCGCCAGCGACGCCGTCGAGAAGTCCAGAAGCTTCTTCCTCTTCCCCAGATCCTTCACCATGTCTGTCTCACCCCCGCAATCATCATCTTTAGCGCACACGTCACAACACGACACACACGACACACATGACACACGACACACACCGCACGACACACACCGCACACGCACGACCG